GAACCAAATTCGTTATGGAAGCTGTTCAAGAAGTGACTTGTTCGAAAATTGAATCATTTCTTTCCCATTAGAAATAATGTAAATTGAATTAATCCATTCCAGACCCTCCCCCAAAAATGATTCTGTTTTAACCTTTCTTATATACAGTACATTCCTAATATATTGATTAATCTATAAATAAACACTTCTTAAATTTTTGGAACCACCCCCTACTAGCCTTATATGAATTTTTTATATAGCACTGCCTTCGAAATGCTCTCACCAGCTAACCAGCTAACTGCTTTTTGCTGATCTGATCAACAATGGTTTTGTTAACTATTCAACTGCCTTGGATTGTTGTTTTGTGAGCACTTTCACACCCTTAGCAACATTAGTACTCTTGATGGCTTCACTATGTGTTGTTTATTTTTTTTAACCTTAGCAACTCTTTTTAAAAAAATATTTATTGTTGAAAGTATTACATATGTCCCCCATTGATTCCTTCTACCCCCGCCCCCCGCCCTCCGGGCCTTCACCACCTTATTGTCTGTGTCCCTGGGTTATGCATATATGCATACAAATTCTTTGGATGACCTCTTCCTACCCACCCAACTTCGGCCTTCCCTGAGACCTCACAATCTATTCCATGCTTCTAAGTCACCGGATCTATTTTATTTGCCAGTTTAGTCCATTCACTAGATTCCATACATGAATGAGATCACGTGATACTCGTCTTTCTCTGACTGCCTTATTTCGCTTAACATAATACCCTCCAGGTTCCTCCATGCTATCTCAAAGGGTAAGAGATTCTTCTGTTTTTACTGCTCCATAGTATTCCATGATCTAAATGTACCACAGCACTAAGCCATCTTTTTTATCCATTCATCTACTAATGGGTACTTGGGCTGTTTCCAGATCTTAACTATTGTAAATTGCACTGCTATGAACACAGAAGAAGTACATACTATATATCCTTTCTGATGGGTGTGTCTGATTTCTTATTATATAGTCTTAGAAGTGGGATGATTGGGTCAAATGTAAGTTCCATTTTTTATTTTTTGAGTAAACTTCATACTGTTTTCCATAGTGGCTACACCAGTGTGCATTCCCACCAGCAGTGTACTAGGGTTCCCTTTTCTCTATATTCTTGCCAGCAAAATTAACATCCAGAAATCGATGGCATTTTTATACACCAATAATGAACTCTCATAAAGAGAAACTAAAAAAGCAATCCCATTTACCATTGCAACAAAAAAATTAAGATACTTAGGAATAAACTTAACTAAGGATGTAAAAAACCTTTACTTGAAAAACTAGAGGATATTGAAAAAAAGAGGTAGAGGAGCCAAGACAAGTTTGGCTCAATGGATAGAGCATCGGCTTGGGGACTGAAGGGTCCCAGGTTCGATTCCGGTCAAGGGCATGTACCTTGGTTGCAGGCATATCCCCAGTGGGAGTGTGCAAGAGGCAGCTGATCAATGACTCTCATTGATGTTTCTGACTCTCTCTCTCTCTCTCTCCCTTCCTCTCTGTACAAAATCAATAAAATATATTTAAAAAAAATAAAAATATGATTTCTCTTAATGCTTACATTAAAAAAAAAAAAAGAGGTAGAGGAAAATATAAAGTGGAAGAATATACCATGTTCATGGATTGCTAGAATCAATAACATCAAAATGTCCATACCACCCAAAATGTCAACACATCCCTATTAAAATACCAATGGCATATTTCACAGGTCTAGAACAAGCACTCCAAAAATTTATATAGAACAAATAAAGACGGCGAAAATCCGAGCTAGTTTGGCTCAGTGGATAGAGTGTCAGCCTACAGTTTGAAGAGTCCCGGGTTTGATTCTGGTCACATGCCAGAGTTGTGGGCCTAATCCCAAGTAGAGGGCATTTAGGAGGCAGCCGATCAATTATTCTCATCGCTAATGCTTCTCTCTCTCCCTTTCTCCCCTTCCTTTCTGAAATCAATAAAAATATTTTTAAAAACCCACAAAAATGAAGAGCCACAGCAATCTTGAGAAAGAACAAAGTTGGAAGGATCACAATACCAGATATCATGTTATACTACAAAGCCACTGTACCCAAAACAACTCAATACTGGCACAAGAACAGGCATATAGATCAATGAAATAGAACAGAGAATCTAGAAATCAATTCAAACCATTATGCTCAATTAATATTTGACAAAGGAGCTAAGAACATACAATAAAGACAGTCTCTTCCTCCTTGCCCTAACTGGTTTTGCTCAATGGATAGAGTGTTGGCCTGTGGACTCAAGGGTCCCAGGTTCGATTCCAGTCAAGGGCATGTACCTTGGTTGTGGGCACATGCCCAGTAAGGAGGTGCAGGAGGCAGCTGATCGATGTTTCTCTCTCATCAATGTTTCTAACTCTCTATCCTTCTCCCTTCCTCTCTGTAAAAAAATCAATATATATATTTTAAAATTTTCCTCAATAAATGGTGTTGGGAAAATTGGGCAGATATCTGATAAAGGAAATGAAAATCTGATATATCCAAAATATATAAGGAACTCATACAACTTAACAAAAGGAAAATAAACAATTCAATAAAAAAATGAGCAAAGGACCTGAATAGACACTACTCCAAAGTGAAAATACAGAAGGCAAAGAGACATGAAAAAATGCTCAGTCACTGATCATCAGAGATACAAATCAATGAGGTATCACCTCACACCTGTCAGAAATGGCTACCATCAACCAATGGCTTCTCTATGTTTTTACCTTTATGTAATTTTCTACTTCGTAAGTAGTAGATACTTAAATCCAAATCAACTCATGATTTAAAGCAATTATGCAGTATTAAAAAGATATTCTGAGATGTGACAAGGGTGAAAAACGGGAAACATAACTAAATCCTAATGGCATGACAACTAACACTGGAGAGGTGGCTAGGTGCCAGAATATTTTATGTACTTACCTGTATTTAATCATGACAAGCCTGTCAGGTAGTAGTAATCACTGCCTCCATTTCAGAAATAAGAAAACCAAGAAAGAGGTTATGAAATTACCCCCCCCCCCCAAAAAAAAATGATGGTAATAAGAAAAAGTGCTCTAATGTCAGCAAAAACATTTATCAAGAGTTCATTAACTTCTTGTAATCCCGCCCCCTATCGGGGTGGGAGAGGCCTATCGGGCGGGGCCAGCTAGGGGGAAGGGCCAAGGGAGTTTGGCCGGCGGGACCCCATCCCCAGATCAGGACTGTTTCTGCCCTAGTGACCAGTCATTCCGGCGTCCTGGTCACTAAAGATTATATATATATATATGTATATATGTATGTATTCGGCCTGCTTGGCCACCCAAGTCTTATTTTTTCCACTGAAAATCATAACCTAAGTAATGATCATTAGAACCAGAAATGAAGTGACCTTAAAAAACACATTTTGCCCCACCTGGGTGACTTAGTTGTTTGGAATGCCATCCAGTACACTAATAGTGTGCAAGTTCGATTCTTGGTCTAAGCATGTGCCTAGGTTGTGGTTCGATCCCTGTTCAAAGTACATATGAGAGGCAACCATTCACTGTTTCTCTCTCACACTGGAGTTTCTCTCTCTCTCTCTCTCTCTCTCTCTCTCTCTCTCTCTCTCTCTCTCTCCTCCACCCCTTCCTCTCTCCTCCACCCCTTCCTCTCTCTCTAAAAATCAATCAACATATACTCAGGTGACAATTAAAAAAAAGTTTTGAATCAATATTATATAAATGACCAATATTACTCTTGGAAGAGTACAGCAGCCCCAAATTCTGACGCTCTAAAGAAATTCTTCTGCTCAGCTGGTGTGACTCAGTGGTTGATTGCTGACCTATGAACCAGGAGGTCATTGTTCCATTCAGGGTCAGGACACATACTCAGGTTGTGGTTGCCCAGTTGGGGGCATGCAGAAGGCAGCTGATCAATGATTCTCTCTCATCATTGTTGTTCCTCTCCCACCCTCTCCCTTCTTCTCTGAAATCAATTAAAAAAAAATTTTTTTTTTCTTTAAAAAGCAACTCTTAGCCTGCAGACTGAAAGGTCTCAGGTTTGATTCCAGTCTGGGCACATACCTAGTTGCATGTTGGGGACATGGAGGAGGCAGCCAATCAGTTATTCTCATCATTGATGTTTCTCTCTCTCTCTCCCTCCCTCTCTGAAATCAATAAAAATATATTTAAAAAATAAAAAGATAAACTCTTCTACCCACCCAAACATTATGCACCATTTAAAACAATTTACCCCTAGCAATTCATAAATTTGTGTTTGTCACAACATGAGATAGAATGGTCTCACTGACAAGTTACTGAGTAGAAACTAGAATAACTAATATCAGAGGAAGGAAAGGCAGGTGAAGAAAATACAACAGTTAAGATAAGAGGGCAACAGTTAAGAGGGGAAAGATACACTTATACATTTCTTATTTCAAGTTAGCACAAACTTCCTGGATTTGTCCCTAAGTAAGTTTAATAATTCATAGCAATTCACTGGCTTTAGAGTTATGAAGTCTCATTCTTTTGGTTCTTGATCTGTAACATGGAGTAGTAGCTGCTATTTATAAGATTACTATTAAAAAAGATATCTACTGTGAAAACTAGAGTTGTGAAAAGCAAAGCACTATCCTAAATACAGTATGTCAAATTAGAATGGTGTTTGGATGTTATCTCATAATTGAAAAGCTAATTCAAAACAGTACACATGTATCTCACAGGCAGAAGAGCAGGACAGCAACAAAAACCATGTGCACTCTATATTAATGCACTAAGCACCGAAATTAGCAGTCAATTGTATGCAAACAGTTAAAAGGCCTAATTTTACAGTGTTTGCCTTTACAATAATTTAAGAAACTTGAATGTAGCTCTGGTAAAACTCCCAAATGTGGACATGGAAAGAAAAGAAGTTAATGGATGATTCCCTAAATTATAGAATTTTTACTTATTTATCTCCATATAATAGGCATTAATTAACATCTACTCTACACATCTATCTCCTTACAATTACCATTTTTCTTGCCTAATGCAACAAAATTTTCACTATTAAAAGTATGCCCTTTCAATCATACATGTCCAAAAGGACTGCTTTAAGAGAAGACTAACTTCCCTTTTTATGGAATATTTGCATTTATTACAGAATTTCTAGAAAGATGCCCAAATTAGCTGCCCATTGCAGAATCAGCTGCGAAGGTTCTTCCAAATGAGGACTTGAGCACTGTGGTCTGAAAAGCTCTGCAGATGTTTCTGACAGAAAGGAGACAGCAAAATTTCTGAGAATTAAACGCAGCAAATTTTACCTGCCTGTGACGGTTACCATACAATGAAGCGGAAAGCACAGATTTAATTCATGTACACACTGCAAGTGTAAGTAACCTTTTAGAAAAGACTCTAAATATCCAATGGGTCAAATGCTTGTTCTGCTTCAGCAAGCTGGTGATAAGAAAGTCAGGACTGGCATGACAGCCTGCACAAGCACATGCATAAGAAGTCCACAAACATAAGATGATTTACACAAAGCTGAATCTGACCACCTGGAGCAGTACAGGTTTAGTGCTAATAAGAGTTGACAAACCCTCTGGCTAAAATACACCAAACAATAAAGTGAATTCATAGTCACCAATTTGGAAATGGTTAAATCAATGCTACGTAACTCATATCTTTACATTTACATAAAGATTCAAACAACTGTCCATTGTTTAGAATAAACATTTGTTAATTTCAACTTAAGAGCAATCAAAATGAAAGATTAATATATCACAGCACAATAAAAACTGATAAAAACACTTACTAACTGTGCACTACTACTCTGCCATCCCCAAACAACACCATCTTCTGCGATTGGTAGCTGATAATGGAGCTTTTCCATCCAAAAGGGAGTAATCTTCAAGTCCTGTGGCTGGTTGTGCAGGTCCCCCATAAGTATTTGTTTATCCTCTAGTTCACCTTTCACAACTGTGTTAGTCCACAGACAGCCCACGGGATATCGACAACCACCACCTGCCAGGCTTTCAGAAAACATCTGACCTGCAAACCCTCCCATTGGATAATAGGAAAGTTCATTCAAATACAGTTCCTCTGGGAAGCTCTGCAAATCCTCTTTTGAGGGGTTTTCAGATGTATTTATAGTGTCTTCTGAGAGTAATAAAACATAGTCCTCACTACTTGGTACTACCATTTCTTTGCTGCCACCTGAGATGACAGGAACTGCCTGCAGCACATTGTGAGGAACAGCTGTGTGTTTGTCCACTCGGGCAGGATCCTCACCAGCCAAATAGGAATTCTCATCAAGAGTGCCACATAACTCTATTTCTCCAAAATTCACCCTTGAACTTCCCACAAAATCCACTTCATCATTTAATGCAAGCTCTTTAACTGTGGCTCTGGCATTTCTTTGTGTGAAGTGATGTGCAAGTCTGCTTATCCCACATGGACCTCTGCAATAGCTGTCGTTGGAGTCACTGTCTTTCTCCCAGGAAAGTCCTTCCCCTATCACTTCTGTTTTGTGTCCTGCCACTGCAGTGTCTAAAGTATCAGAGACGTCAGTGGATGTGCAGGAAACCTGCTTCTGTCTTGGATCTCCACCACAGTTAAAAGAGCAGGTCTCCTGTGCTTCTGCCATCTGCTCACCTGAACTCACAGGTGGTACAAGATGAAGATCTTTGTGTTTGCTGTCATTCACTCTGCAGGTTTCTTCACATTTTTCTATTTGATTTATTTCAAAGTCAGGTGCTATTGTTATACTAGAATTAGCACAAGCCAATACATCCTGAGCGGGCACTGTCTTGCATTTTTCTATATTTGTTTCCCAATGAAAGATTGTTTTAGAACCTAACTTGAAATTTTCTATGTCATTTTTACTTGTCTCTCTGTGATTAGCCCTTAGTGACTGTTTTTTGGCATTTTCTAGTCTGTGAGGGCCACTCACTGAACTCTTTACACACAATTCATCTTCTGCTTTATGATTCTGGCCTGTTTCACTTTTTTCTTCTTCAGCGCAGTTGAAAATAAATGCAGAGGACATAAAGTTACTCTGAACACACCTGGGTCCAAGAGGAGATTCATCCTTCTGGGGCACTTCCTGCAAACTCCTGAGATCCTGCGTATCTGTTCTTTGATAGAAGCCCTCCACATTTTTTGCCTGCATTGCATGAGTTAAATCACTAATTTGGGCCTGGGCTATGATAGCCCCAGTATCTGCACACAGACCTTCCTGACTCAAAGATCTTTCAAAAGCCCTTTTATCATGACTTTCATCTTCAAAAATGCTCATTTCATCATCATCTTGATAAGACAAACTATTTTCAGCTTGCAAAGCCAATTCTCCTTTGCTCACAAGCTGGATGCTCCCAGTTCCCAGGCTGCAAACACCACTGTATTGTCCCTTTGTCATTGCTGGCCCCAGGTATTCAGATCTGGGGTCATCACTTCTTTTAGGGGCTGCTCCTCGGAAATTAGCATGAACAAGAAGACACTCATTTCTAAAGCTCACTGAAGTGATACATCTATTTGATCTGTCCAATCTCTTAACATCTAAATTGGAATAATCACTGTCTTTTAGATGTTTCATAAAGTTCTTTCCTCCTCCCTTTTCAGAGTTTAAACTCTGATCTATATTAGCTTTTATAGCCTCGGTGTCAGCACTTTGTTCAATTAGATCAACACCCGAGTCACCCATCGGACTTAATAGTACTGAACTATGGCTCTCTCCTTCTTCAGGGATGGCACACATGTATTCTAGTGAGTCAGTGTCTATGTTAGTATTTGATTCAGATATTGTGCCAACATTATGTAATGCATCACTTTCTGTGTAATCTGTAGGGAACCCAGTGTAAGGGTTTGCCCTTAAAGACTGAGCCTGCATGTCACCAGTGTTTCTTTTACAAGATGGGTCACTGTCAGTCAAAACTTTGAGACTAGGTTCAGTTTTTTCATTAAAGACTTCCTTCATGCCACATGGGTATAGTTCTTCCTGTGGTGCCTCTAAGTCCCCTGGACCTCCAGCAGTGTTATCTGTGGAGGACCCTCTGCAAACCCCCTCAAAAGTGACAGCTGAGGGGCTCTCTTCTGTGGCAGCTGTTCCACACATGTGCACACATGGCTCGTCGTCACTGTCCAGGCTTCCAGGATCTACAACACAGATACTGTAAAACTTGCTCTCTCTTGAATTCCAGCATCGCTTGTGATCCACACAAATGGGGTTTGCACTCTCGGTCTCCCTACCAGACTCATCTAAAGCATTTTTCTCACTACCACAACTGATGTGAACATTTACTGTGACTTCTTTTTCTACTACAGCATTTTTACATGTGCCAGAGTGATGGTACAGAAGGTTATTTACAAGGGCTCCTTCCTGCTTGTCCTGGTCAGAAGGCCCCGGGACATGTGAAAGACACTCGTCCTCTTCAGAGGCAATACCTACAGAAAAACTCTGTGTGTTGTCAATGTCCACACTCACAGTCTCACAGACACTCTCACAGGCCTGCTCAATAGCAGCAGTACCTGAATTGTCAGTCTCATCCAAATTTTTATACCTATCTAGGAACTTATACATTAAAGAGGAAATAAAGTTAACCGATGGCCTTGATCTGTGCGCCCATTTGTGCCCAGACCTCACAAACATCCTTGGCCATATATCAGTCCCAGCAGCTGCCCCGCTGGCTCCATATTCAACATTGTGCAGCTCTTCACCTTCCAGTGTATCAAATAATACAGATAAAGTTTTACTTATCTTGTTCTCCGGGTCCTTCTCCTCCACAGATTTTTGTAACAGGCCAGTTTTTTCATTGTCATTGTCACCACTGAATTCTTTGCTGAAGCAACAGCCCATGTTAAAAAGTTCAAACACATTACAATGCCTATCGGCACTGTCTAAGCTCCAAGTGCACCTCACACTAATTCTCTATGGTTTCTGACAAGCCGACACTCAGATACCAAAAATAGCCCTTTGCACAACAGTCACATGTCCCCGCCACTCAAATCCAAAATCCTAATTACAGCAGCCCCTGATCCATGCACTAAAACCTAAACAACACATGGAAACCAATGACTCAGAATAGCAACAAAATTTTTCATATTATTCTTCTTATTCTCACAAAATCAATGAAAAAGTAACTAAAATTAATATACCAGCCAGAGAAGGAATTCCTAATCTCTTGTTTTTCTACAGTGTTTCAACATTCTCTGAACTATATTTCATGGAATGATGACAACAAAGAAGTTACCTTATAAAGACTCCAATGGGAAATAACAAAAATTTGATCTTTAAAATTTATAGGTATTTATAGTGATATCTAATTTCTGGGGGGGAAATAACACTGTTGAAGTTCAGAAATAACAATGCTAGGCACAAAATTAAAATGGTGCATGTTAGAGAAACATGTTGAAACTTTATTTAAAGAAGTAAATACATAACATATTTTTGAAGTGTCCTTGTAGAAGGGATGAAAAGATGAAACAAAGTAACAAGACATACAAAACAGTAGTTTTTATAGTCTTTTCCATCTATAAGATATAGTAAAACATCTACTTATTTCAAATTTATATTTCAGGTTGTAACTTCTCTATTGAGGTCCAACCAGCCCCACCTGCCCACTTCACTGCTCACTTGAATTTCTGCCAGGTGGATTTTTCCCTCCACAAACCTTTACTTCTCCAGTTTTTTCCACCCTAAAATAAATTAAACCAATTGCTCAACTATCCTTGATTTATCTTTCCCTCACCCCAACATCTACAACATCCAATCCACAGAGTTGTGTGATTGAATCTACCTCCAAAATAAATTTGCAATTCATTTACTCCAAGTCTAAGCCACCATAATTTCTCACCTTCATTGCTTAATAGCTTTTTTGATATGGTTTCTTTGTATGCATTCTTAACTCACTAAAATCCACTGTTAATATGAGATCAAAATAATATTCATATATGTCACACTATTCGCCACCTAAAATCCTCCAGGTTTATTCCAAATTAATTTCATCTGCTCAGAGACAATGCAAGGAGTTGCCAAATGGCTGACAAGAGCTTTGTTTTGTTTTTTGATACTATTTTTCACTTGTTGTTTCTGCTTTTAAATGAAATAACAGATGCCAATGAGGAAGTATCTCTTCTTGAGAGTTTAAATTCTGAAGCCAGGATGTCTGGTTTCAAACCCTGGTTCTGCCATGTTGTAGTTAAGTATTCTTAGGGAAGTTATTTAATCCTCTCCAAGTCTCAGTTCCTCTAGATAGGATCACTTTTTGGTGCTCACACTGGTTGGCTAGGCTTGTAGCTACTACTCAAAAATTTGGGGGGATAGGGAACAGAGGGATGTATGATAAATATGATTGATATTTTGGCTGGATAAATGCAAATCTGCTCCTGAATTAGTCAGATGTTTATTAGGTCATCATTATGACAATTCTCCTTTAACTCACACTGTGTCCAACTGGGGGGAAGACTAAACCATAAAGAGATGGTTCCTAAATCAAACTGCTAAGCATACCCACTGTCAATCATAACTGTAGACTATTGAGCATCAACACTAAGAGCCACAACACCAAGTAAGATGTCTACACACTTAGTGTGCCATAGCAGTGTCAGTTAGAAAAAATGGTTGGAGCAATGCCACTGATAATGATGAAAAAAAAATGAACAATGCAAATGGCCCCCCCTCCCCAAAAACCAAATGGCTAAAGAAATGATGGCTTATCGACATAAAGAAAACCCAGGGGGATAATAAAAATCAATGAGAAAAATATCCTTGGGTGAGGATTAACCACAAAAAAGGTTCCTTCCACCCTAACCGGTTTGGCTCAGTATCAGTGGATAGAGCATTGGTCTGTGGACTCAGGGGTTCCAGGTTCAATTCTGGTCAAGGACATATACCTTGGTTGCAGGTGCATACCCAGTAGGGGGTGTGCAGGAGGCAACTCATCAATGTTTCTCTCTCATCGATGTTACTATCACTCTCCCTTCCTCTCTGTAAAAAAATTAATAAAATATATTTTTAGAAAAAGTTCCTTCCTTTAAATAAAGTATAGTAATTTCAAAAGAAAACACTGCACGACAAGTACAAGGGAATATATAGATGAACTCATACTATATGGGAAAAAGTGAGGTGAAATATGTATCTTCTCATTGTACTGTTCTTTAAAAATAGCTGTAGTCTCTAATAAGATTTATTTTTTCTGTGAAGATAAGTATATAAATTAAGTTTTAAAGGACCCACATGCGAGTCAAGGTGGTCTCTTATGGTAAGTTCCAGCTCAAGTATTTAACGATTCTATGAAAACCTGAAGTGTGCATCACCCTGCAAAACTGGTAAATAGTATATCCCCAATTTACAAAACCCAGTGTCAGAGATGTGATCTGCACAAGGGATGCTAGGGGTACTGAGTAGCAGAGCTAGACAAAGAACTAGCCACATGATATTCTGTTATAGGCCATTAACTCTTTAAAAAAAAAAAAGTACATTTTTATTGACTTCAGAGAAGAAGGGCGAGGGAAGAGATAGAAACATCAATGAAGAGAATCATTGATTGGCTACCTCCTGCACACCCCTACTAGGGATTGACCCTGCAACCCAGGCATATGCCCTTGACTGTAACTGAACCCAGGACCTTCTGTCTGCAGGCCGACACACTGAGCCAAACCAGTTAGGGCAGCCATTAACACTTAAAAATAGCAAAAAAATTATATTAAGGTAGTACTAATTGCAAGTTATTTCTCCACAGAAATGAAATATTGAATTCTTTTTCAGATAGGTCTTAACTCAATTCTCACCCACAAAGTAATTTACAGAAACAAAACAGACCAAAACCCCCCACAGAATCCAAAAGCTAGTTTCACAGCCAGCAACAGGTTTTAAAGACATTTTGAACATTATATTAGACTGCAAATCAACCAGAGGACGATTTGTTCTTTTAAAAAATTCTTTTTATTGTTTTAAAACTCTCAATGATTTCTGTTATTTCCCTCTTAGACTACCATTTGGATTTTAAGTTACTAAAGCTATTCTAAATTTCATTTTTATTAAGTCATAGCCCGAGGACATGTTTTATTGATTTTTAGAGAGAGAGGAAGGGAGGGGGAGGGCAGGGCAGAGAGAGGGTGACAGAGAGAAAGAGGGCAACACATCAATGAGAGAAACATCATACTGTAGATCAGTTGCCTCCTATACATACCCTGACCAGGTATCAAACACAAATCACAGATATATGTGCCCTGACAGGGAATCAGACCCACAATCTTTTCGTGTATGGGACAACATTCCAATCAATGACCCACTGGGCCAGGGCAATAAAATTTATTTTTTTTAAATCAATGTAAAATATAATTTTAAAAAAGAAATATAATTGCTTGGAAGGGTCTTTAAAAAAAAAAAAAAAAGCCTTCCTTATTAAAAGAAGATAAACAATTCAATCCCCTCTAATTTCTTACATGAACTGCTTATATGCAGGGAATGTTAGGAAGTTTAGTACCATAAATTTTGTGCGATTACTTTTAAATTTTACTTTTAAAAAAGATTTACTTTTTTAATTTTGTGTAAGATTTATAAGATCACATACAAGATTAACAAGCTAAATCTGGAATAGCTCCAAATGCACCGACATACGCAGACCCAAATGGTATAAAGCAGGATTTAAAAACCAATAGCTGTCCATTTCCATACTCTTTGATTAATCATAGCTAAAATGTGAACCAATTTTTCCCCCCATTACCATTTATCACCTCTATGCCCTTTTCCACCTCCAGCTACCCTTCCACACCCCTCCATGCTCCACTATCACCACAATGTTGACTATGTCCATGCTTTTTTTTTTCTTTTTCTTTTTTTTTCTCTCAATCCCTCAACCACCCACCACCCCAATAGATCTGTCTGCCTGCTCTCTATTAATAGTTTCTCTCTGCTTGGTAGTTCAGTTTGTTCATTTAATTCCACATATGAGTGAAATCATATGGTACTTATCTTTCTCTAACTGGTTTATTTCACTTAGTCACAGAACTAGAACAAATGTTTAAAAAATTTCTATGGAACCTCAAAAGACACTGAATAGCAACAGTGATCTTGAGAAAGAATTAAGTTGGAGGAATCACACTACCTAATATCAAACTATACTATTGTACAAGACCATAGTAATCTAAACAGCACTGTACTGGCATAAAAAGAGACATATAAAGCCTTAGCCAATTTGGCTCAGTGGATAGAGCATTAGTTTGCAGAATGAAAGGTCCTGAGTTTGATTCCAGTTAAGGGTATGTATATCCGGACCAGGCACATGCAAGAGGCAACCAATTAATGCGTCTCTCTCACATTGATATTTCTCTCTCTCTCTCTCTCTCTCTCTCTCTCTCTCTCTCTCTCTCTCTCTCTCTCTCTCTCTGTCAATCCCCCTCCCTTTCACTCTCTCTAAAAAAAAATCAATGGGAAAATATCTTGGGGTGAAGATTAACCAAAGAGAGAGAGAGAGAGAGAGAGAGAGAGAAGGGGAGGGTACATGGAGGGAGGAAGATATCAATGAAACAGAATACAGTCGGTCCTCGGGTTACATCGGAGATCCCTTCCTATGGATCAACATAACGCAATTTTCACCATAAGTAGGAACCAGCTACATAAGCACCTACGTCACTTACAAGGAGCACATACACAACAGTAATGAAGTGAAACAGTAAAAAAAATTTAAAAGAGAGGTAACAATTCCTGACCTTTTCTTGTGGCAAATAAATAATAAAAAACATAAAACACGTGTACATATGTCAAAATGATGGAAGTTTTTGTTTTGTTTTTTTGTTTTTAATAAATCAAAATTTGTGCATGGGTATGGTTGCTAGGCCTGGCCAATGATCAGGGCTGATCAGGGCCTTCTTTCCCTAGCTGTCCATCAGGGTCTTCCTTCATTCGCATTGGCCCCTGGTGGTCAGAGCACGTCATAGTGATCAAACTCTGGGTCCAACTCCCAATGGGACATTTTGCAATATCAGCCATATATATATATATATATATATATATATATATATATATATATATATGTATATATATTAATATTTGAAAAGGAGGCAAAAACATACAATGGAGGGCTGTTGGAGGCAAGATCAAGCCAGCAGGGGAGGACAGTTAGGGGCGATCAGGCAGGCAGGTGAGCAGTTAGGAGCCAGTAGTCTCAGATTGCAAAAGGGATGTCCGATTAGAGAGGGTGCAGGCTGGGTTGAGGGACCTCCCACCCATGTATGAATCTAACATACACATAATAGATGATCAGTCACCCTTTAAATGACCCTTTAAACTCTTAATGAATATAAGACATCAAATTAATACACAAGGCACTGGGTCCCCCCTACCCAACTTAGAAACATCAACCTTTTTTAATTAGTTTACAATAAATATTTGTTACAAGGTAATATCTGTGAGCCTCCAACGTGATATATCTCAGGACTAAATTACCTGACTCAAAGCTGGGATGGAGCTTGTCTGAGAAGTGGTTTGAGATATGGGACCATTCATCTGCAAATTGAAAACATCAAACATACCATCACTGCAATGTGAAAAAACATATTTTCAAACCACAGTAATCGAACACAACAAAGCCCATGAGAAAAGCACATTTTTATATGACAAAGGAAATTCAGGGAGATATTCAGAGCTATATAGAAGCCTTAAAATTTTAAATATTGAAATTCTGACTGTACATAAACTAAAATCCTACTAAAGTAGTTTCAATAGGGAAAATTAAAAAAAAAACAAAAAAACACACTGTTCCCAAAGCCATTTAGAAACTTTAAATATTACTGCTTGACATGATCAAATCTTACAATTAATGAATGTAGTCAAAATAAAAAAATTGTTATAATTCTAATTAATTCTTTAACTACATACCACTGAAATGGCTATAATGCTATAAAAGTATTTATAAATCACTGTGTTTTCTTGGTGATTTCATATCCAAGGCTTTGGCCTGGCCAGGTAGCTCAGTTGATTAGAGTGTCCTCCTGATAATATCAAAGTTGTAGGTTCCATCCTTAGTCAGGACACATAAGAATCAACCAATGAATGCATAAATAAGTGGAAAAACAAATTGATATTTCTTTCTCTCTTAAAATCAATAATTTTGAAATCTGATCCAAGATGGCTGCTCAGGTAGACACCTAACCGCAGCAGCACACAACAATTTCAATGGAATACAACTAAAATGTAGAGTGGACATCGCCCAGAGCTACAGGTAGTCGACTGACTGAAAATTCTACAACAAGAAGGAAAGAGAAAACCAGAAGGAAAATCAGAGGAGCTGAAAAAAAGCCCAAGGTACGGAGACATGCAGCGCGCGCGCATGGAGAGGTCGCAGCCGGAGAGGAGGAGAGGGCTGGGTGCTGCCTGGTGTTCCCTAGCAGGAAGGAAATAAAACCCCCAGCCTGGGCTAAACCTCCGAACCGGCAGCGCTGACCCCAGTTATGAGCCAGACCCTGGGGACCCAGGCTCCGGCGGGGGGAGACGGGGCTGTGAGGCGGAATCCCAAGCGAGCAGCGAAAAGCAGGGCCCCCGGAGTTGCACGCACATTGTGCGCAGAGGACTGAATGTTGACTTTGATGCTGGATTACCCTAGCGTGGAGAAACAAAGCCTCCGGTGGTGCTGAGCCTGTCCGAACTGCACTGAACCCCAGTCCTGGACCAGACCCTGGGGACCCAGGCTCGGGCAGGGGGAGACGGGGCTGTGAGGCGGAATCCCAGAGGAGTGGCGAAAAGCGTAGCCCCCAGAGTCGCGCGCACTGCGCGCAGAGGACAGTCTGTTGACTC